GAATGGTTGGAGTAACAACAGAAGCTTCCTGGGACTTTCTGCATGTCAACTGCAGGCAGTTGAGCAAGTTTCTTTTTGCACTGCCCTCTTCAATATAAAACCAGCTTCTCCCCCCTCCCACCATCCAATTCAAGTTTTTTCATGCCAATTTTTTAAATATTGTTCCAAACAACCAGTTAAGATGAATTAGTTAGTATTTGTTAGTATTGTAGTGGTTAATATGAGTAGATTATTAGTAGGTTTGATAAGTTGATTCTGGTAGCAATTTTGCCTCTAGAGGTTTTTGAGGGACAGTATCAGAGTGACAAGGAGCAGAATTTATTAAGAATCAGAGCCAGTAGTAGTAGGTTTTTATATTTCACAAGAGGAATGCCACTAGATTGGTTGGCCTTGAACAGGAGTTGTGGAGGATAAGGTCTGGGAGAATATTGATGGGGGCAAGCTAGGCCTGATCAAGGGTAGTAGACAGAGTAACTCAATCTTGAAACCAGCCATCTCTATCTTGAATATTCATTCAACATTCCTTGTATTCTGGTGTAGTATATCTGCAGGGACAGAGGGATTTGAAACCCCCTGTCAGCTGTGATAGCTTTCAATCAATTTCCCCCTAAGAGAGGATCATTACTATATATTATTCTTATTTGTCCCACAGGAGTCCCACAACGACCAATCCTAGAGGATTCAAAAAAGTATCGACTAAGGCCAATGAAGACATAGAGACAATACGACCAAAAAAACGAAATTCTTGAGGTTTGATGGTTGTCACTCACCATGTCTCCTGTCATATTCATTTATTTCCTTCATAGCTTTCATTCTACAACCAGACCACACATTGCACCTTTTTGTTGTTGTTGTTGTTGTTGAATTGATCGTTTTCAAGGCCTTTCAATAAACCTAAGAGACATTGGAAAAGGAAAGTGGAGAACAAATTCTAAAAAGGGATTTTTTTTTCTTGGAGACATGAAGTGCAATTTTCCGAGCCAATTCTTCACTCTTCATTCTTCATTTCGCCTTTCTGCCTTCTCTAAAAACAAAAAAGCATTCTTTTCCCATGACAAATTCTACTCTTTTTTTTCTTGAGGTTGTGGGGAGGGGAGAGCGGGGGGGTTAAAAAGAACTTTGTGGAGGGCATGAAACTAAAAAAGGGGGATAAGGAAGAGGAAAGACATGCTAGCATATATCAGACTGCTTGGACCCCAAATCTGCTGATAGGAAGGATATAACCGAGGTAAAAGAGTAGATTCATTTGGTGGGCTTGGCGGCCGTCTTCAAAGCGCGTTCGGAGGCTTCCTTGATAGCCCTGAGCGGCAAAAGATGACACAAAAAAGCAGGTGAGATTAGCAAGCGAAGCGGAAGGAGAATGATGTGGAAAAGAAAGGAAGCAGAGGGTCGAGATACCAAGTGAGGGCATAAGTGCCACAAGAGTCCCTGAAGCTACTAAGGATGCCGTTAGGGATCTCCGACTCGTCGTCCTCAGCGATCGCCGATTCGTTGTTGGACTCGCGGCTCTCACTGGCATCGATCCAGGCCGAGATCTCGCTGAAGTACGGGTCGTCCGAGGGGAAGTTGATCTTTTGCTCCGCATCCGCCTCCGGCGATCGAACAAATAACGTCGGCTCATTGTACAGATCCACCACTTTCATCTGCCATCCATCCACTGTTTTGATCTTGGATTAGACACTCGTTTCCATCTATAGCTGGTACTGCTGCACTCACAATAAACCTCCAGCTCTGTCGAGTATTTCGTGCCCTGAAGAGTCAACGCATGCGAAAACGAGCAGATAGCACCTGTGTCGAATTTCCTGCATACACACAGGCACAAAGGTCAATGAAGCGCTTCCAATAAAACCGTCGTGTGGAAATTCTGGCTCACCAAATGGCTGAAGTGGTTCGAGGGACTCGGTGCTCTACGGGGATCTTGGACTCGTCGATTGGGATCATCTCCAGCTTGCCGGCCTCCTCGTAATGCTGGAAATTGATCACATTGATCACAGAAGATCAACTCTTGCGCTTGGCGCTTTTTTTTGGGAAGTGGCCAGGCTTACCTCAGTCGAGGTGGCCTGGACGGTGTCCAAAAGAGCTTCCCCTCCGAAGTATCGACACAAGTCAACTGATCGGACGGGAAAGAAAGGCAAGTTTTTCATGTAGCCAATGAAAGAATTTACATCAGCTCTTATGGAAATGAGAGTTTACCTCAGTAAAAAAACGGTCCGTACCCAAATGTGTGCCCTGCTCAACAATCGGCCCCAGACTCTTGGATTTGTTCCACCATACTTCGCTGTTAATTTTAGCGTAGCTGCAAACATCTGAGTGTTTATCCAGAGAGTCAAACACTACACTTGGCTTTTGTGCAAGTGGAAAATTCAAACGAGTAAAAGATCTTACATCGAGCGACAACCATCATAACTGGTTTCCCAGTCTCAGCAATGATGCGCTGCATTTGTTGAATGACCTTCCAAAAAAAAAGGGGGGGACGACTGGTCAGTTGCGAACGCCAACAAGCTTGAGCGGGGGGAAGAAAATATACCTGGAGATACCGCAACATGTAGCCCACAGAGACTACCTGTTTCTTTTGCTCCAGGATGTCGGCCAAGGCGTAGCAAGCTTCAACGGGGGCGCACGAGATAGGCTTCTCGACGAAGAGTGCGGCACCTGGAAAGTGTTTCAAGCATTGGAGTTCTAAATCTTGGCCGGGCCTTGAGTCGATTGAATTAATTTCAGTTGTTTCGCATTACGAGCCGCTTAACTCGAGTGGTAATATTAGTGAGGAAGAGGGCTAGGGTCATACAGATTGCTCCCATGGAACTGAGCCGGACTGCCGATTACGATCGCGTGGGGATATTCAGCGGGAGTGGCGAGCTTAGCAAACTCGTCCAAGTCCTTGCACAGTCGTGCATCCTTGTAAGCCAACGCTACAAACGTCGCACATTTCACATTGATGACTTCCTTGGCTCGGTTGATGGCTGGGTCGACGATCCCAACGACGCGAAGACGGGTTTGCAGCTTGTGCTCGAGCCTCACCGAATGATCTAGAGGGCAAACATGGGTTCAGTTTAGCCGGGCCAAGTCCAGTCAGTCATAAGAGCTTGCTTTTCTGGTGGATGCTTACTCCAGGGACCTTGATCGCTAGGTTTCGGATCAATTTTTTTTTTCGTTTGGGCGCAAATGTGATTAGTAATCAAGTTGTTGCACCATCAAGGCTTATATGGAAGTGCTGCACCTTCCAAAATTGATATTCTAGGGCGTTTCGCAATTATATTATCATGATTATATGGGGGAAATGACGTCATTGAGTTGAAAATTGAAGGTCAGCCCAATTTTTCTTGTGCTGGGTGATCTCTTGTTGACTCTTGAAGGGGAAATATGAACATGATGCGGAGGGAGGAAACTCACCCCAGCTCCGATGAATAGGACATTATAATGACCTTTCAGGTTCATCGTTTGCATTTCCTTGACGAGTTGTGCACTCGGTGTGAGTGCATGCATGCCGCCCAGCCTGGAAAGTCAGGGGAGATTATTTTATATGTGTGTGTGGAATGAATTGGTATTTCTGTGGGATGAAGAAGAAGGATGGGTGGGAAAGATGATTAACCTGGCGGGATCGATGCTTGGTTTCCTGGCAGAAGGCTTGATGTCATTCTTGCTCATGCGCTCGACGGCCGAACCGAGGATGCCGGCGCCGAATGAAGGCTTGCGAACGGTGGGTGAGTCTGGAGCGGACATGGCCTGTCTGACGGGGAAAGTTCCGATGCGGAATGAGTGGCAATCAAGAAGTGGGTTTATAATTTGAAATGATTCATCCAAGTCCGGAGAAAAAGAGACCGATGCCTTACTTTGATGGGTTTCGGTTGAGTATAATAGCTATTAAATATTATGTGTCTATTATATGGTACTTGGACGTTTGCTTCCTGTGGTAGTGCTGGATCAATTCAAAAAAGAGTTGCCTGACCAGGGGTTTCTTCTACTGTTATTCCAGTGGGTTGCTCTTCATGGACTGGCTCAAAAAAAAGTATTAAGTATTTAAAATAAGAGAAACAGCAGCAGCAAACTATAACCATCCACTATCAGACGTGCTGCCCCACCACACCCAAAGACCATCCATCATAAACCCACCCCGCCCTGGAACAACACCCATCCACTTGCCAAAAAAGAGATCCCCGCAATTCCTCGAGGCTACCACCCGCGGCCATCCTGTCAAACAAAAACATCTTCCCGAACGCCCCAACAACTGCTGGAAAAGAAAGAAACGTGACAGCTCATCCATTCCATTAGCCATCATACCCTCCACATCACACTCATCCCCTATCCCGAAACCAAGTTGAAGAATGCCCCCAACGGGGTCATGTCCATCCGAGGTCGAAAGGAGCAGGCGAATATGTGATGATTGGGATCTGAAATACCTCAAGCAGCTTCATCCATCCCCCCGATAGCTCAGTTGGAAGAGCGCGAGACTGTAATGGATACTAGGAAATTGTCATCTTGAGGTCGCTGGTTCGATCCCGGCTCGGGGGAAAGCAAACCTGGCAGGATGGTTCTTTTGAATTGTCCCGATGGTTTCCTCCGCGTAATTTTGCTGGATCGTAAGCAACC